ATGTGCACAATTATAGCCATGGCAATGCCAGTATTGATACTACATCTAACAGGACAAGTGTTGACTTATCTAATGATATCTTAGTGCACCATGGGTCTTTGTTGCTATTTCTATAAAAAGAGCTCTCAAAATCATTATTTGATTGTTAGCACAAGTGCTTCATCAGCTGTCCTTCTCTTGCTTCCAATAAATTACCTAGGGCTCTGAACTGTTTGTTTTTTCTTTTTCTATATGGTTACAGCAATGTGTCTTTTCTGAAGTGCAGCCAAAATAAACACTTTTTTTTCTTACTTTTAACTGTATGCTTTATTTCTGCTACTATTTATACATTTACATTCACTTGAGTTTACTTTTTCTGCCAAGACAATTTGAAAAACAATTAGGTGATTATGTGGGTGTAGCATTGAGCAGTCAGCATCAAACATCCGCTAACTGCGCAGGTAAAATGACAAATAGGGTTTGCAATACAATAATAGAAATAATTAGGAGCCACTTTAAAATCTTAAGGGTATTCAAAAAATATTGTTACAGTCTAACTCCGCTACAACGAACGCCGCTTCAACGAAATTTCCGCTACAACGAAAAATTCATAATTCCCCGTCAGCAGTCTATAGGAGACAATGCATAAATATTGTCGCCACAACAAACACTTTTTCTTCTATTGTCCCACTTCAACGAAATTTCACGATGCGATTCCAGGCTCTGATACTTATTGCTATGCAGTAAACACAATCTTTAACATTTCTATGCATTTTCAGAGCATGAAATTGCGTCAACAAAGTCTAAAACACGCATTGGCGCCACCAGAAACTGCCGCTGATTAGCAAGTATGGGCGCCGCCATTGCTCGATAGCAATGGCAATGAGACTGCCGTGCTTTTGTTTTGCCACTGGCTTGCTTTTGAGCCGCAGATGATCTGAAGATGAAGCTCAGTCGCTCAGTTCATGGGGTTGTCTTAGGCTCGCGCTGCTGGTGCAAAACCGCGGCATGATGCACTTTACCGAGTCTCGATGGCTTATATTAGTTCGGGGGGGCTTGGCCAGTATGATAACGAATCAGAGCAGCTGTTCGTCCGCATTATCAACAAAATCAGCTAGCTGCGAGTGATGTATGATAAGAATGACATAGAATAATGCAAAAGTCGCCGCTCCTCGATACCCTGGCCTCCATCTCGGGCGTTGTCGGATACTTTGATGGTGGACAGCTGCTGGTGTTAACGTGTTAATGCAACAGTTTGGTTCGTTCACGAAAGCGGTGTTAGGCGTTGTTTTAGTGTGCTTTTCTTTATGGCCTCGCTATGCTTGGGTGAGAATCACGTCGTGACGCTGCTTGGAAAAAATAGGAAGCAGCGGACATTTTTTTAAATTCTGAGAATGAACGTTCTTTCGTTTTGCTAGCTCAGATCAGCTATATTTTTTTGGATTTCACTACAATTAAATTTTCTCTTCAAGAAACTTTTTCCGCGCCCCGTCAGTTTCGTTGTAGCGGGGTTCGACTGTATACCAAACGGTCCGTTTTGCCCATAGAGCGTCACAATAAGCCAGTCAAGAAATTTTTTCCATAGACACAGAATTTTTTTATTGTCTAATCTCAACAGGTCACTTGACGATACTTCACACTTAATTGTCATAGCTATTAGGAGTGCCACCATATCGTGTTCCTATACTAATTGTCCATAAATGTTCGATACGGAACAGCTTGTCTTTTTAAATTAAAATTGTTTTTCTTTTTAGGAATTGGTTTCTTTAGGGTCGAATCTCCTTACGACTTCATGAGGTCCATCCGGTTTCGATCCGTCAGGGAGCCCTCCACAGTTGCGCAGGTGCAATACATCTATGCACAAAACTACCTACATAGTGTACATAGGACTTCAAAAAAAAAAAAAAAAAGGTCAGAACACCGTAAAAATACCACCATCTTACCACCCATCAGTCAAGGCACGTGATGGAGCAAAAGGTTAACAATAACATAAAAGGCCTTTAACCAGAACAAAATAGAAGGCCACGATTCACAATCTGACTGATGCACATTGCTTCGCCCTATCATCAGCATTCCCTTCATAGATCTGCTTCAATTTTTTCAATTACAAACTACCAGCTAATCAAAGCTATAGGTGGCGATAGCATCAACAGTTGCACTGTCCTGCGACGATTTGTGCACCTATAGTGACACACGCTGTTACTTTTTATTTTTGAGTGATTGGGTTTAAGTCACAAAAAACTGATATCACCACTCAGCGCAAACCACGTCACAATGTTTCAGAATATACAAGATTGTCTCAGAGTGTTGTTGAAATTATGCACTGATCTTGTTTCGGCAGCCACATTTTGATGGAGGTGAAGTGCTACAGGTAAATGTACTCAGATTCAAGTGCACATTAAAAACAGCAGATGGTCAGACATTTATGGTGCCCTCCATTGCAGCGTCCCTTATAATATTGTGGTTTAGGAATGTTAAACCTCAACAATTATTATTAAAATTACGCATAGTACGTGAGCACCCTAATTCGTTCGGCAACTTACACGAGCATGAGCAATTATGCTGGAAAGTGCGATCACTTATCTATAAAACAAGATGCGTCCTGGCGATGATCAGATTACCGAAGGCCAACTACACTTATTGCCGTTGTTAGAGTAAAGCACATTTTGCTTGTACTTTCAGTTACTTAGTTTTCTGAGCACAAGTTGGCCCAATAAATGGTTTTGTCTCAAGCAGAGTGACTGCTACTTTCTTTATAGTCATCATCACATGATAATACAATACGTCTGAGGCAGTTCTAGGGTACACATGCTGTGATTGAAGAGAAATTGACTGCACGTTAGATAGCATATAGATAACTAACTGTTTACACCAGCAGACAAGAATAATATAAAAGTTTGATGCAGTTCGATTTGCTCTACATATACAAAATACCTTGTGGCTACTGTACACTGACCATTGGTATTGGATAAACACTCTTTTATGGACAATGTAAAACTGCACACTGTTATTTGCACTACCTTCTTTATATTAATAACATTACAAATGACCTTAGCAGCAAAATTACTGTTTGCCTATTTGAAGAGGATTGCCTAATATATTCTAAAATATCATGTCATAATGATCGAAGTTAGCTTCAGCACTACAATCAATTACTAATTGGTGCACATGATGAAAAATATAATAAACCACGAGCAAATAGTATATGCGCACATACCTAGGAAAACAAAAAATGTGTTAGTTTTAATATGCTAGATGGTAAGCCATTGAGACAGATGAGGCACCTTAAGTATTTAGGCATTACAATATCTGATGATTATCTTGAAGAAAGCATATTACTAATTTATGTAATACCGCAGAGATTAAGCTTTGGACACTAAGGCATAAGGTAAAATTTGCCTTCCGAGATGTTAAACAAACTGCATACATAACTTTGATACGACCCGCACTTGAATACAGAAGCATAATATCGGATCTGCGTAGACAGAACGAAATAAAAAAATTTAAAATATACAAAGACAGGAAGCAAGATTTATTATATTGAAATATAGGTACACAGAATCAGTGACAGAAATGCTCGCTCAACTAAACTTGCCTGAGCTTTAATCGCGGCGAAAAGTGGCGAGAATAAAATTCCTTCACATAATGAAACACGGATGCTTTAACTTTAGCCATCAGAGATACATGCAAAACAGAATTCCGCGTCTTTCACGGTGTGTCAGATCGAGTCATCAGGATCAAATTGTGCCCATACCCGGAAAGGTCGACACCTTTAAATACTCTCTCTTCCCAAAAATTATTGAAGAGTGGGACATGCTTCTATCGCATAATATAAATAAAATGAACTCTTCAGAGGAATTTCAGAAATATGGTACCGTCCTATTACTCTTCCACGTAACCACATATAGGTGTCATTACCTTCTTTTTTTTTTTTTTCAGTGATAAGCGGCTTGTATGCTTTGACATTATTTTAAATAAGTATATGTAATTATAAAAAAATTCCCGATTTTGATAATTATAGTTTTGAAGCATATGGAACAGAGCATGTTGAGTATAGTGTCTAGGATTGTGTTCCGATCCGCTAAATGTTGCTCACTACTGCGTAAAACTTGAATACTTTTGTGTGTTGGTTAGATTTGCTTTTTGTTTGCATTACGATTTGTATGGTCTATAGGGTGTATATTTGTTTAAAGCTGCCAGATGCATTGTCTGTCCTGATTTCTCTGTGTAGGGCTTGTGTCTTTGAACGATGTGTGGAGTGTATTTCAGTACTCCACCCTGTATCGGCATTTTGGCTGTAGTATACACGAATAAATAAATAAATAAATTGTGTGAATGCTTCGTATTGAAGCTTGTGAGATTAAACGGCAACCCACCAGATGGTCGGCAGGCTCAACCGCTACTCTCATCAATTATAAAAATGACAAGCACGAACGCAAAAACGCAAAGCAAGTCAGCGATGTGCTTAAAGAGCTGTCCTATTAAGCAGCTAAAACAAACCCTAATGCATTCTTTCCGAAGTAAACGAACGTACTTTTACCAAGCACGACAAAGCTTTTCAAACACCAACAGACATTTCATTAAAATGAAATGAAACTGATCACATTTAAAAAATTTCTAAGCAGACCAAAAGCTCAGTACTACATTATGAGGATCTTTAGCAAATTTTTGAATGTATCAAAGTATCTTAAGATACAATAGTTGCAGTAGTATCTTGCATCTGTTTCCCTAACACTTTTTGCCTGTGTATCTTGTATATTATCACAATACAATTTCAAAGTATCTCTGCCCAGCCCTGTCACCACGAATAGAGTTGCTGAAATCTTTTTGTGAAAAGCTCCGTTTAACTTCTGCAAGGTAAGGTAATCATGTTACATGTAGCATTTCTTCAATGAGGGACCAACAAGAAGTTAAAAGGAGTTTTTGCTCATATTACAGAGTTGAAGCTGCCCGCAAGTGTAGTTTCTAGTAGTTCTAACAATACATTCGAATGACAATGTAGATGTGCTAGCAAGAGCTACTCACACCAGGATGCTCTCCAGCAGCGCCACTAGATCACCATCCATTGCTCCAGAAACAATACTCTGAATGTCTTCTCGTAGTAACCTGGAAACAAAGTATTATTTCAACTAGCTTGCACAATAATTTCATAATTGATAGTGCCATGTTGACAAAAGGCAAGCACTACTATATATTACTGCACCAAATAAAAAAGACATAAGAGAAGTTCGCACCCCAAATCAGAATAGGACGTTGACACATGCTCTCAAAACCCCCAGAAAATTATCATTGATATGAGGTTGCATGACAGCATGAAGAAGACCACTCTTTGGTTGTAGTTCTGTAGTCTCTATGAAGATTCTAATAAACTGAGAGTTCCAGCATAAAAAATCTACCATGTCAGCTAAAACCACTATCGTGGAGGGGTCTGGATTAATTTTAGCCTCTTAAAATCCCATACCAATAACCACTTAAAATGCACATAAAACAATCTGTCCGACGCTTCTTACAGTACACGCTTGTTAAAATGTAGGATTCATTGGGAAAAAAAAAAAAAAAAAAGAGGTCCGTGGTGCAACCTCTCTGGCGACCACCTGCCAGTGATGCAATTAGTCACCAGAGCAGGATTGGCAACCCTGGTGCAGTACTAGGCCACTACCCCCCTTATGAGAGTACCAATTAACCCGTGGCCCTCAGGCGCCAGCAGCTGCGAAGCAACTGTCCAAGGTGGTGGTCAGACCTGCAATGCAGCGGAGGGTGCCGAGAATCTCTGGGTTCGGATAGACCGCCATTGGAATCTGTACTTGGCTATGTTCAACACTCGAACACTATCTTGTGAGGCTAGTCTAGCTGTGCTATTCGAGAAATTAGAGGGTGTAAAATGGAATCTAATAGGGCTCAGCAAACTTAGGAGGACAAGTGAGGCTCATACAGTACTGAAGAACAGACACGTCCTATGCTACCATGGAATAGTTGAAGGAAAAAAAATTAGGGGTGGGGTTTACAGGGGCGAGACTAAATTGGCAGCAGTTTCTGGGGCACAGAATTTCAATATTGGAGCAGAAGAATCTTGCTTGGGTGCAGTTCGCAACAATTATTGTGTCGTCCTGCGAGCTTGAAAATACAATTTTTTAACAACGTGGGGACACCAGTGCATATTTTAATTGGTTTATAATACACAACACAAACTGATTTCAAAGGAAGTTTTTAAACATAGTATCGCCAGGTATGAACTGCACAGCGTTTTTACATATCATGTGACTTATCTGGCCCTCGTAACAAACATCTGAAATAATACTTCCTAAGAAAGAAGGTTACGTTAAAAACCAGGTTCCCCAAAACATTTAGAAAGGAAAACGCATCACAGTCAAAAATAAATTAAAACAATGTCATTACACAACAATCTTAATTACGTAACAGTGGTACCTTGCTTAAAGAAAAGCCCGACGTGATAGAAAAGCCCGAAGAGCTTTTAACAAGCAACAAAAAGCGCGCTGCCAAGCCGTTGGTGGCCACTCGTGCAGAACCACCTTCAATATTACAGCGCTGGATCCAAGAAACCTCGCCGCACCGACAATCTCGTAATGCGCGTGCATATGGCACTAAGCGATAAGCGAACACCTCTCCGCTCCAGCAACTACCCGTTTATTATCACGGCACACGGTGACTATTTTTTTCTTATCGTAGGTCATCGCCGTCGATGTACAACTCCCGATAATACATCCACTTGCGATTGCCGCTCTGCGACTGGCGTAAAGCGCTCGCTAAGCGTAGATAAGAAATTCCTGTCCAAGAAAACGAACCGCCGAACGTACTTTATAGCATAAGAGGGAAAGAAAGGAAAACGAAGTCACACTGACGCCGATCGATCGCCAAACGAGCTAAGCCTAATAGCATAGCCAGGGCCGGCACGCATGCAGCGACGCCTCTTAAAAAGCACACGTTTGAGAGTTTAGATTACCAAATGTAGCAGTGGCGAATCACGAAAATTGTACCCCGTCATTGCCGACGCGTCATGAATCACGAATAAAACGACGAGGTGCCCATTCATACCTCTGAAAAATTTTGAACGCACGTTCTGCCAAGACGGCCCCGCAAATAACCAAGCGTTGCTCTCTACCTGCAGACACCGATGCGTGGAGTTCAATTGCTATGGCTTTTCTAAATGAGAAATGCAATGAGAACTTACTTGTCGGTACAAGTTTGTAACAGGCGTGAACCACTCACCTGGGATGACCTGCACGCTTTGCGTCGTTGTTGTTGTTGTTTTCCTATTGTTAGTGGCGCGATTCTGGAACCAATCCTTGCGCATGCGCCCGAGCATCCACAAGACGTGTCGCGTGCAGGGAAATGACGTTACGTTTACAGTTCCTCCCCCGCGGAAAACGCACACGCGTAGGTGGCGTTGTCAGATAGAAAGGAGACGCGGCGCGAAAGCGCTCTGTCCCAGAGTCACAGCTAACTCATCAACCCATCAACATCTGTACGTCTGTCCCGGCACTTCCTCCCCCCCCCCCCCAGGGTCGTGTGAGGGGGACGTTTTGTTTCGGGCAGACGGCCATGCCCTGGCAAGGGGGCCACCGCTCGACGCCAGACGCGGCCTGCCTCCCGGCGTAAGAGCCAGGGAAACCCAAGCTAGGGCGAAGCAAATTCGGTCGCGATGCACAAAGTAAATGTACCCTGGCAAGGTGAGCTATCGCAGCGCGTAGGTTGCACTGCGGTCATGGCCCGTCTCCTAACCGCTAGGACCCAGCGAGACTCGACACAGGGGCTACCCTTCGGCACGGTGACCCTCGGCACCACACGCAAAGCGGACGTACCTAAACACTTGGCAGCAGGACTGCCCTTGGGCGCGGTAACTTCAGTCACTACAACCCGTGCCCTCACACTGTCGCTCGGCTAAGAGCCGACGACGACGTGCCCAGTACGGATGGGCTATCGCTCGGCGCTTTGCAGTCACGGCCCGTTTCCTCCCCACTAGAGCACAGTGAGACACAATCCGTCCCGTGGGGTCTACGGGAATACTATATGGTGCAGAGGTCAATGTTGCTGCACGCAAACCAAACGTACCCAGGGAAACCAGCACGGCTGAAAGCCGGCCTAGACCTTTGCGAATAAGGGAACCACCCTCCGCCTCGGCGAGTAGAGTCGCCGGGAACGGAGGAGGAGCCAACACGGACCTTGCGGGCAAAATCCTGTCACCTTGCGGGCAAAACCCGACAAGGTGACAGGATCACCTTAACCCATGCAAAGCTCGGGCGAGCAACCATACAAACTAAACTCTGGGGCAACCGGCTCAATAGGCCAAATCGTGTAAACTTTGAGAACGCCGTCATTAAAAATTGATGGTTATCTGCCCTCCTGACTCCCTAAAAATCACTGCCCGACGGTGCCACATCTCATAAAACTTCTTTGCACCTAGGCGCTGCCACTCTCGGTGGAGAACGAACCAGACCTCCTTAAAAACTTTTGTGAGCATTTTGTGAACTCCGGGTCGCTTCCCATCAAAAACGGCACAACACCGTGCCACCCACACTTAGTAAGAGCATTCAACAAGCAGAAGCACATACTGCTTAGCCGCTTGCCCCGACAGAGGATGCATAAAAGTAACGGTGTTGAAAGGAACACCGGGGTGGCCAAACAAGCTAGCTATCCTTCGATGGAGGGCAGCTGGTAGTGCGCACTGGGAGAACACGTGAACCAGGTCACACCATACTGCCAAAAAAGGGGCACGTTCTTCGTTGAATTCTCATGAAGGGCCTGACCTTCAGGGGCAGGCACCCTCTGACCAGGCGATACATGAATGTACCACGCGTGGCATTAAAAAAACTGGCAGTAATGAACCTCCAGTTAGGACTATGGTGGGACAGGTCAAATGCTACACAGTTTGAAAGTCTATCAACTAACTCGTGGAGTTTGATCAAACTAAATCTATATCGGGGTCGACCGCTTGGAGACGGGCCAAAGTAGAAGCGGCCCCTGCATAGAAGGTAGAAGGTGTTCCCGCCCGAGGCACCAAATTCAAAACTGCCGCAGGTGAGAAGAGCCTCAGCCCCGTGCTCAGAAAATACGACTCAAAGCTTCTAGTAAGGAGCATATCTGAATCGAGAGCTACCCACGTCCATCTAACGTGTAACGCCGTGGTCCCAACGCTAAGGTCAGGAATACCGAGTCCTCCTTCGTCCCTACGCAACTTCAGAACGAGGCGCGACACAAACGGAAAGGCACGACTCCAAAAAAAAACCGAAAAGTTTCTTTTCCAGGAGAGCCTTGGTATGGGGTTTACCTGGCATAACCGAACCTACGTAGGTATGAAAACTGAACAAAAGTGATCGAATTATCGTGGTCCTAGCTGTAAGTGGACAAGACAAGGCACCGAGTTCCCCAATCCTGTCGGTCAGCTTTTGCCTTGCTAAGCGCCAGTATCCGGTAGTCAGGACATCCGGTTTGAAAAGGAAACCCAATATACATAGGCACTTTTTTATAGGGAGGCCACGCACAGGACATGGACTGGAGGGAGCCCAGTTCAGATCCATGACTGTGCTCTTCGACTTCTTTATCCTGGCACCGCTCGCCGAGCAGTATCCCTCCATAACATCCAAGACAGTGCAAACAGTTGCCCCGTCTGGGACGACAATAGAGAGGTCATCCGCATAGGCGAACATTGCCAATGGGGGGGAACCTCGCAGTAGGGGAAATCTACCGATGCTGGTGTCTCTAGAAAGCCTGTGCAAGAGCGGCTCGAATGCGAGCAAGTAGAGAGCGGGCGAAAGTGGGTTGCCCTGTCCGACTCCACGGGTCATACCGAAAAACTCCGAGACTCGTAGGTGATCGCACACGCCTAAGTGACCGCAAGCAACTGCATTGACATGAAACAAGCAGTGACCGGAGGAACGCGCTATGCACAGCAAAGGATCCGAGAGTCACCCCGTTATGCACACTACTCGACTCTGCGGTTTTCACAAGGCGACAGTGGCACCAGAACCGAAGGCGTTTGACTCAGTTCAGACATCAGCAGTAATGCAGGCACTATGGAATCAGCCCATAGAAGAACCCTACTAAACACACTGGGAGACATATACAGTGGATCCACAGTCACCATAGTT